TTTTCCATTCTTCCTCTGGTGTTCATCTTCCAGCAAGTCTGTGTCTACCGGACAAGACTTGTTTGCTGGAAACAATAGCTTCCGGTAACCCTTGTGTCAGCTCACGTCGATGGTGATCGACTTCCCAATAGTCAACCGTCAACCACTAGAAATGTGCTGTCAACTTCACTTTCACAATCGGTATCTACAGAGATATGGCCGTACTCTTAGTGGGTGAAGTGAGAGTAGAAACTCTTGGCGCGCTGTCATGGCATGCGTGCATCTGACAAGTACCATGCCAGGTCTCGGAAGTCCAGAAGATGTGTACTGGCTGCTACCTCTCAAGATGCCTGATGCCTAAGGGCAAAGATGTTAGAAAGGCATGGTGAGGCGTCAATCTTAAGTTTGAAGCCTCAGTTCCTCATCTGTGGCAAGCTCATCAACAAACGGACTTCACCTTCTTCGACAACGTCGAACTCTGTGTTATGGATCGTCCAGTCACGATCATACATGTAAATAACCAGCTTTTGAGTGCAAGTTGCCTTCTGTGAGCTCGCAAAGTAGAATTTGCTCTTTGTGGAATCAATGTTGTACTAAGCCGGTCTCTGGATTTCTACGAACAAAATTGTAACAATAGTCGACTGCTCTTTTCAATCCCATAGCTCTTGTACAAACACGGCCCAAGATTGCTATTGTTGGCGGGAATCGGTTCTCAATCAAACATGAAACACTCTTCTGCTCTTCACCTTCTTCACTCATAAACGCAACATCCTCATGACTCATGAGTGTGTGAGAGCTTCTCCTCTGACGTTGAGTACCTCTCACAGGGACCCATGTCATCGATTTCACCCTCGGAATGAACAAGGAATTCTTGATTGGAGCCTTGTGATTGCCGTTCACTTGCATAGTTTGAGCCAGATTTTCCATCTCCTTAGTTTCGATTTGATTTTCCTTTTTGCTTTCTTTCCATTATTTTTCCTTTTCCTTTGTTGGAATACCAAGCTCTCTCAAGCTGTTCCAAACAATCTATGTCTTCATCACACCCCGCTTCCACATCATCTTCTGCTAGAATAGTATCATAGTCCTTTTCGTCGTGCTGCTCATCCGCATACTGACCACATTGCTCGCCAGCAAAGTTTCCTTTTCCTTTCCTTTTGCCTTTTCCTTTTCCACGGCTTCTGAAAAGTCTGCGGCCTGCTCTTTCTTATTTTTAAAAAAATCTATGTATATATATATATATACCTTTTCTCTGTCCTTTTCTCCTTTTCTGGTCCTGCGCCCTCAGAGCCGTAGTTCGCATCATTATAGATCCAGAATGCATCTTCCAGGGCATCTAGGAATCCTTCCTGCAGCTCCATTTTTTGTATTTTCTGCCCGGTAGCCAAATGTGCCTTCAAGTTCTCCTTCAAGCGCAAGGATCTTCTCTGTCCAGCACCTGTAGGCTGCATCATTGGATTGTCAGCTGATGCCTTTGTTTTACAGAACATCTCAATGAATACTGTCCGCAGCTCATTCACTGAGTAGTTTTGCAAGATACGTCAACGATGAGTCATCAAAGAAGTCAATGTTTCACTGGTCTTGAGACGGATCGGCCAAAGCCATGCGTGAAGTCAAGCCATGCGTGAAAGGAAAGATGGTGTGACTGACAGAGACCTAGATGCAGAGAGTCGAAGACAAGCCCGTAAGCCGCATTGTCTGGGTTGGTGCCCTTCTAAAGGCCGTCTCGGGGCAGAAAGGGGCACCTCTGAGTAAATGGGCGCTAGCGCCAAGGCTCCATCCCGGCGAACATGATACTTTGATATTTTCAATCAGCGGGTTCTAGCCGCTAGCCGAGAAGCGACCTGAGAAAGCAGGACACGGCAACAATGGCTTGTCGACGCAGGAGGCTGCTTTTCTGGGTGGGCGCCCTTTTGCGGTATGTTTGAAGGCTATCTTGAGGCCAAAAAAAGGCGCCTGTGAAAAAGGCGGTTCTAGCGCCAAATTCTTGCAGAAAAGGCCTTAACTGTACTAAGGATAAGTTTTTTGTTGGTGCCCCTTTGCGCCTTGCTTGAAGGCCGTCTCAGGGCAGAAAAGAGCACCTTTGAAAAGCGGGCTCTAGCGATAAGACCCGTGACAAAGCAGGACATGGCAGATGCCATCTTCGGGCATTTTGATTGAACATTGCGAGCCGCTGCTTGAGATGAGTTTTGGCAGGTTTTGTGGGGGCAAGCGCAAGCCGCTGCTTGAGACGAATTGTCGATGCATGTATGGAAAGACGTGTGCTCTACAGATCTAAGCGCAGAGAGCCGAAGAAACACTCTTAAGCCGCATTTCTGGGTTGGTGCCCTTCTGCATTTTGCTTGAGGACAATCTCGCAGCAAAAAGGGGCACCTCTGGAAAAAATGGGTTCTAGCAGCAAGTTTCCCAGAAAAGACTTTAAGGAGGAGTTTCGTTGCTGCCCTTTTGGGCTTTGTTTGGAGGCCACCTTCGGGGTGAAGGCAAAGAGGGCCCCTCCGAAAAGTGGGCCCTAGCAAAAGGACATTGGACAAAGCAGGATGCGGCAGATGCATCGTCGAGCAGTTGAAATGAATCTTGCGAACGACGCGGGAATTATCAGGGGTCTGTGCGGGAGTGTTGGAGACTCTCACATCGCTGAGTGAATCACATTGCTCTCTGAGTGTCTACGATCACCAAACAGATTTTTGTTTGGCTTTAAGCTGGGCTTACGTACTACGATGCGTAACACCAGGTTGTTTTCATAACATCCTTTCAGAACTTGGCTACGGCCATTGTGGGTAAAACTTTGTGGGCGACCGCCGTGGCCCTTTCGGAGTAATTTACGCCCTCCAAGTCTGAGAGTTGGAGGGAAATTCCCGGATGTTGTGTTGCTTTGGTTTCGTTTTGTGTCACGATGGTTGATGGCGTGCTCAAGGGTTGGTGCGCTGGACGAGGATCTTGCACTTTTTTCAATTGTTTGGAAACTTGCCACGCCTTTTTGTGCTGCCTTGACTGTGGCTACCCAACGATGCCAACTGGTTGACTTCGAAGTCCCAGGGTCCTAAGGCTCAACATTGTGAATTGAGTAGACGTGAAGCGAGCACTCACAACGCCACCAAGGCCCCGCTGAGATCCCTTACCCGGCAGGCCAGCTCTCAGACAGTTTCTTGAACAAGGTCACTACAATACATTTTGGACGTAACATACGTAACCCATTTTCACTGCTCAGTTGTCGGGGAGTGTGTATTCTTGCGCGAGGCAGTGTTGCCTGTGGGACTGCCGCCTGCATCTGGCTATATACTTGTGGACCAAACGCAGGCGAGACCTTGCTAAACGGCAAGAACAGTCGAGGTATGCTGTATCCTACTAACAATATTCCATATCCGCCGAGAACCTCTTAGACCCAGCCTGAGACATTCTTGACTGAACTTGCGCTCGGAGGTTGTTGGGGCACCGTTTATATCTTTTGTCCTTGAAAGCATGAGATGGTCTTCCAACGTGCTTCCCTTGCAGTGCGCCAGCAAGGGCCAGGAGAGATTTGTTTTCAAAGGAGGTTTAGAATGCATGGGTGTTCACCCTTTTCTCCTTGCCATTCTCCAAGATTCGTTGCCGAAACATATTGGAGTTGAACGTTTGTTGGATTTAATGTATGACGCTGCAACAAGCACTGTTTGTTGTTCCGCTCTATTGAGCGTTTTGGTCACAGGTACCGCATTGAAGCTGAGTTTCCACGAGGTGCAGATTCTTCATACTGTTATACACAGAAAAGACCGCAAGGGCAGAAAAGGTACACATACCCGGCCCAAGTCTAAGTTGTCACGACTTTTGTTTAACAACGATATGGTGATTGTGATACATTCGGAAGTCTTAATTCTTGGACAGTGCTGGATGGGTCATCAGACGGAAGCATGTTCAAGGGATAATGTGATGGGCAATGTATCAATGACAGCAGCTGTGATGCTTGACTCCATGGAGTTCCGCCCAGTCCTTGCAGTCTTGTGTAACTCTCGGGCCTAGCAAGTAACTTTCATGAAGCTTTAGCAACTTTAGCACGCTGGACTTGGCAGTCGAATGATTCTTTCAAATTGCAAGCTTGGCTTCTCCAGGGTACCGGGTATTGCTCAATGACTGGAGCTATGATCCAAAGCTGAAAGCCGCTGGACGACAGTTGAGCCGACTGGTTGGACCAGTTACAGTACAGGTGGCAGATTGCTTCAAAATGGAAAACTGTGTGTCAAAGGTCCCTTTCACGAGCAACACACATTCACAGAACATGCTTCAATGCCACGACTGCATGATTGGCTGTGCAACACCTGTGGGCTGTGGAATTCCTGTATTGATGTTACTTGGCACCCACCCACCCACACTTAGACTATGGGTTTTCAGTTAACCATAATCCCGGAGGAAAGGAATGGCTCAACGGAAAGGTGAAGTGTCCACGGACCTGAAGGTGTTTTAACAAAATGGTTTCGCTCGAACTCATGACTGCAGCTGTACAAAGCGGCTGAGGGAAATAGGTTTATGGGAGAGTAGCGTGAAAACCACCATGAAAACAAACCAAAGGAAGAATGGAGTCACAGCTTGGTAGAACGGCAGGTACGCAGGGCTGATCAGGCCCTGCTTCCCACTCTCGCCCACAGCTTCGTTGCGTGTCGTAGGGCGAGAGTGCCACACAAATTGATTTGTGGAGTGGAAACCCTTAGAAACAGGGTAGGACACACACACAAGGAGTTCTGACCAAATCAATGCACTTCAGAGGAAGTGCAGCTAGATGTGTTGCTTTGGCATGCTTTTGTCACCCGCGCGGTTTACTCACATAGTCAAACACACTTGGCTTCTAAAAGTCAAACACGCTTGTTATTAAGGTCTCCTCACGATCCGGGCATAGGTTCGTGAGCTTTAAACTTTATGCCTGAAAAGAGCTATATAATATATACACATTAAAAACATACATATGTCGGTAGCCCCATGCGCTGCGCACCGCGCAGCCTTTTTCCCACCTCGGGCCTTAATGTCCCTGCACGGTCGCCTGTTGACACTCCTAATCAAGTCTTAAAAGTCCTGGCAATGGATGATCCGGGGATCACATCCTGGCTTCCTCCAGCACTCGAACCACGGATCTCAAGGTATGCAACCAAGTCCTTGAGGGCTGCGGAGCCGGACTGAGCATGGTTCAGGCACCAAGCACGGTACCCAGCCATTCCGTCGGCGGTTCCTTCGAACAGCTCAGAATACGACAAGGCTCCCTTGTACTTACCAAAAGCCACCATGCACTTTCCCCACTGCTCAAGGCTGGAAATGCCTGGTGGGTACTTGTCAGCTTCGGCATGCGGGGTGCCGGGCATCTTGGCTGTCGACGGCGTCGGGGCAGCTGTGGCCAAAGCCATGGATCCACCACTGTAAGTCGGAGCGGTTGAGCAAGATCTCTCATCCCTCAAACGCTTGGCACCGTCGCTCATGGGGCCGGATTTCGCACCCAACCATGCTTCATCCAGACGGATGTCTTCATAATCCCGAACTCGGCGCAGGATCTCGTCCCACACTCCACACTGGCGTGCCTTCAGCACAAGCTTGCAGCACTCTTCGGACTCTGCCTGGGTCATCTTCACAGTGGCACTGGCAGCTGACATGACGGTCGTCAGACGCGGTGCACTTCGGTGGCAAACAGGAGAATCTCTCCGTGACCGTCCGGGTCACTTGCTTGAATCCAAAAAGCAATTCAACAACATATCCATAACGAATGGACGTGCTCATGCCGACTGTCGAAAAATGACTCGAAGTGATATTCAAGACTAACCATGTTCTATACAGCTGAGACCCTCGGCTCGAACGGTGGTGGTGTACTTCAATCACAAATCAAGTGCAAACTGATTTCTACCCTACTCATGACCTCACTCCTGAGTACTCATACTCAACCTGAGACTAAGAGATCAAAAGCTCACGAATCAGACTAAACATCTTGACCTGTATCTACATATGGTGGGTGACACTTAGCAGCGAACAGTTTTCTGCGATCTCTCTCTTGGGCTCTTCTCTGCAAGACCAGTTCTTCAGGACTGATCTGGTACCGGAGCGACGCTCGGAGCAGGTCGAAAGCTTCTGGGCTCTCTTTAGTCAAAGCGTCGGCTAGCATTCTGTCTGTAGGAATCCACCTGAGTGTGGCCTTCATTCTCTGGATGCTGTCTCTGAGAATGACTATGTCGATTGCGGTTCGTCGATCGTCCAACGATGGTGCGGATGGTGACGTGAGGTGATCATAGAGGGACTTACAATCAGTTACTAGTAGTGTCAGTCTGTTACCTAAGCTACTCCAGAGGCTTTGTGACAACCTGGGACCATCCATCGCCTCTGACAGAAGGAGATTTGCCCACTCTAGCATGCTTGATGCTGTGGACATGCTCTGGGCTTCGGCGCTCAATGTCGAGCTAACGACCCGTGGGAGTCGTGCACTCTTCCAAAAAGCTGGGGACCAACAACCATCTTTCCCTTCATTGATATCTCTATGAACAAAACTGATTACATACCCTGCTTGAGTCGCACCCGCCTTGGCGTTTGCGAACGCTGCATCTGAGTGGCACATCAGGGCTAAGCTTTCCGGTTTGATGGGGCAGAACCGGATCACCTGTTCGGCGTGCTGTTTTGCCCGTCGGATTGCCTGGTTGGCAGCAATTGCATCACCTATAGTGGGTTTTGGAAAGGATTGCTGAGAAAATGAAACTTGAGTTGCCAAGTCAGGTCTCGTTTGATTTGCTAGCCAATTTAGGCTTCCGTTGATGGCCTTCAAACAGCTCACTTCTTTGTCATCCAAAGGCACTTCTCGATCGCGCGCCCGTTCTCGGCTGAGGTGCAAGGGACGGATCTTTTGGGTGAACTTCTCTTGACTCATGGTGATTTCAAATGTGTTAGGGTCCTGCGTGTATTGACTTCCACAAAAATCACCGGAACCCTGTCTCCATTTACGAAACTCGAAAGCTTTTTGAAGTTCACCCATGGCAGCTTGGTACCTAGACCCCTCTCCCCCAGTCACGCAATCATCTACGTGAACACCATACACCCCAGTGAGTTTTTCGTTTTCGCGAAAGTAAAACAGGCAGGCGTCGAATCGAGATCGTTCGAAACCAACTCTGATCAATTCTTGTTGTAACTTCTTGTACCATGCCGATGGCGAGTCGTTCAATCCGTAAACATGTCCAACAATCTCGATCAGTGCGTCTTCCGGCACTCCGGGGATACCCCCTTTTGGAAGGCTGGCGAAGAGTGGGCGATATCTAGCAGGCAGGTTGCCTGCCGCCAGGAATGCCCCCTTAATATCCCCTAAAGCCATGTGCCAGTGGTTTGACGCAATGAGCTGGAACAACATGTTTCGTCCTACTTGAGACAGTGTCGGACTTTGAAGATCACCCTGCATGGCCTTTTCACTAAGATCTGGATCAAGGTGACCCTGCAAACACCAGCGAGCCTTCATTCTTGGGGCAGCATCATCTTCCTGTTTGATAGTGATTACATATCGACTACCCATGATTCGGTGACTCATATGTTTGCGAACGGCTTGCGCTTCCGGCCCGATCACAAGTCTCGCTGCATGCTTAGCTAAGATGGTGTTCCACTCTAGCAACTTAGCTTCGTCGATCTTGAGTTGAATCTCCCGGGGGTGTCCTGTTGGAGGAAGTTCTTTGGAGGCCTTTTTCTTGAGATAGGTTGCTACCAACACATCAAACGAAGCCCCCTGTTGGTACATATCCACCAACTGGTTCACATCTTGGAGGGACAGGTCATGCACCTTAGCATTATAATGTTGTGCTTGCAACACCTCAACCGAACAAACAGCGAGCTCATCTTTGGCGAATGTTTGGCTGTCATGCTGGACACACAATTCTTCGTCCATGTCGGTGTTCGGCGTGATGCGTTTTGGTGCTGGCTGTTCAGAGCTAGTTGGTTCATCGACGGTTCGCTTGATACCCTGAGGAGACGCATGGACGACTGTTGGCTCTCCCGGTTCCAAGTTGGATGGCGAATCAGTCTCTTGCAGGACTCGATTCAATAGCTCAGGAACAATTTCTTGCATCATTTCCTGAAAGTCTTCGGTCACCATACGACTCGGCCGGTATAGAGCTGCGGGTCCGTCTTTCTGGTGAAGACGTCGGCGGGTCGGCCTGGCTGGCCCATAGCCGGTGCTTGGGTCAAGTTCATCCGCGTGAGGCGGAGGCTCGGGCACACCGTCTTTGGGCTTTCGGACATGTTCGACTGCCGGCTCAGCTTCACGAAAATCGGCTGCTTTGTCGGCCACTGAAGTTGATTCGCTGGCTTCACCAGAATGCTTCGAACCCTCGGTCATGATGATGTCTGGTTGCACTGGTGATCGTTGAAGTCTTTCAGCTACCGATTGGGGCTGTCCTGGAACATCCGTGATTGGATCAGATGTCGAACTATCCCCTTGGGACTCTGCAGGAATGGCCTGTGGCAAGCTAGGATACGATTCAGGAACCAAATCAATGTATTGCCTACTCTCTAGCTGACCCGACTCAATCAAATGTTTGATTCCCAGAAACTCCATATGAGGTGTTTCGACCAGCTTCAATTCGTCTTGAGTGGACGGCCGAACCTGTTCCGGAGCACATCGAAAGATCTGGCGTTTGTGGATGATCACATGGTTCTTACCTACGTAACCCAACACCACCGCCGGTCCATACCAGCGGCCAGTTTTCTCAAGTGAGCCATGGATCCACTTCTGCGATCTCCAAAAGGCTACATATGCTCCCGGCTGGAGCGCTTGGGCAGTTCGAGGTCTGGCGGACAAGGCAAGTCGGAGTGACTTGTCATCTTGAAATTCAAGCACCGCCTTTCTAGCTGATTGTCGGATGGCTACCTGCCTAGCAATGGCATCTTCATACAGGGAAGCTGTTGCTGGGACTATTTCTAGGGGTTCATCTAGGAGGTTCTCTGGGACCCTGGGATTCTTGCCAAACACGAACTGTGATGGGGTCACGCCATACACCTGTATCAACTGATTTTTGCAGTGAGCGGCATTGACACATTCCAACCATTCATCTTGATTTTTCGGCACGTGTTCTGAAAGAATCTTATCTAGAATCCTACCAAACCAGCCCCCGTGCACTTCACACTTACCTAACTGCCAATGGGCGTCGGCCGCGGTCAGCTTAAACGTGGCGCCGCCCTGTTCAAGGATGGACGAAAAAGCATCTGCGATGTTAGCACGGTGCGGATCACAAATGATCTCGGATGGCATGCCTGCCCATGAGGCCCATCTTTCCATGAACACCTGCTTCAGGGTGGTAGCGTTTTCTCTCCGGAATATGGGGACCACGATTTGCAATGAACTTCCATAATCTACCATGTTTACTGCTGGAATTCTTTGACCCTGGCTCCACCCCATGAGATATTTGACATCGACCCCAACTACTGCATTGAATTCTACGACTCGGTGGACTTGAGCAGGAAGGGCTACCTTAGGACTCCTCTGGGCTGCACAATGATCGCAGTGGAAGTCGCATGCTGCTGTCAAGGCCGCATCGGATGCACCACCATGCTTCAGGACCCTCACCAACTGTTGGTTAGTTGGATGACCTAAATTATTGTGCAACCGACGGAGACTGGACATGATCTTTTCCTGGGGTTCTTGATTCAGTTCATGGAGTGTGTGTGCTACAAGACACTCTTGGTTGTGATCATGGAGAACGACGAGTGTTTCAGTGGACGGCAGGCCTTTTACCAATCTTAACACTGCCTTGACGAAAGCTGGAGTGTACTGGGCCGCATGCTTACTAATTGATCCTCGGGTGGCTTCCAGCAATGACCTGATGATGACTGTGGTTGGCATGTGATGGACCTGGACAGCGCTTCGCTAGGGCTCGCATCTCCGAGTGAGATACCATCAGTCGAGTGGCCTTGCGGATCAGAGAGCCACCTGGAATGCGGAGGCCGTAGCAACACATGTCAACACTCACACAGTACATGCACTTGGCCAGGCGTTCCATGGAGGGCATACGCCATGCTATTGAATCTCTTGGATGTTCGAACAAACATTGACCACCCAATTTGATTTGCAACTCCATCAACTCACAGCAAAAACGAATGAACAAGTTGGTCCACGTTTCACGTTCCCTAACTTCACTGTCAGTCATGTTTCGTTTGTTCAAATGCCACCATCCCCCTGCCCATGTACATGGCGGACAACACACAAGGAGCTTCGGCTTACTGACCTGGACATGATGCTTGAGCTGTTCACGGTCAGCTCTGCGTCGGAAATCCCAGCCTGTGCACAGGTCGGCGGAAAGAACCCGCAAGCCGGACTTTGCCCCTTAATCGAGACCGAACCTGGGAGGAGAAAACACTTCGATCACATCGTACAACTGTTCGGTTTGTCTGGAAGGTGCGGTGACTTGTGCCATCAACTGACGGTGCTGCTTGGCCTTCCAATGCATGACATTGAGTTGCTCTTCCTGGGCATCGGGCAGTCGAGGAACGGCAGCGTGTGTCAACAGGCGAAACACAGTCTTACCCGTCCACGGGCGACTGTCATGCTTGGAGTGTGCACAGTGAGGCTCAACCCACGAATCACGATGGTCCCTGAGGACATCAGCTGGCTTGTCTAGCTTGGTAATGCGGTCCGGCTCTAGCTGATCAATCGGAACTGGACACTGTGTATTCTTTGGGGTGAACAGTGTGGTCCTAGGCTTGACGTGGTGTCGAATGACCGTCCTATCCTGCGGCCTAAATTCCCAAAAATCTTTCAACCTCTTGGGGTTTCTGTCATATTGAACCGAGTGGCATTCATTCGGTGTCGGCTCAACCATGGGCGCGGCAGGAAACAGGGCTTGAGCATTCGGTGGAAAGGCCGTGACAGGGATCGTATACTGGCCGGCACTGTTCACTTCGAGAGGCACTTCGAACTGACCTTCAAACAAGGTCAAACGATCTCGATCGAAGTCTAAGCGGGCCTGTAGCTTTTGCAATGCTGGTCTCGACAAAAGCAAAGGTGCCTTCCCTTTCACCACGGCGGCTTTCACATAGCCAGGACGTCCAGCCAAAAACACTGGAAGATCCACGATGGTCTGGCTGACTTCCTGTTCACCATTTCCAAAACGAAAACAGTTCTGTTCAGGCTTTTCCGCAGGCTGTGGAACCCCATGCTGGCGCCAGATCTCTTGAAAAGCCGCCAGCGTGGAACGGCCAATGATGGTCTTCCCACATCCGCTGTCCAATACTGCGAAACCGGGGCTGCTCACCAACAACACTTCTGTCTCAGGACAGGCTGCAGCAGTGCATATGAAATGCTCGGGCAGCTCAGTCCCCACAACTTGTACGGCTCCAGCAGCGTGACTCGCTTGGGGAGCCGATGATCCAATGGTTGCAGAGGCTGGGGCTTTGCATTCCCTCTGCCAGTGTCCGATCTTGCCGCAACGACGGCAGCGTGTACGTTGTTTGAGTTCTTCAACCTGGACACGGAACGAACGTTTGAAGTCCTTTCCAGTTCCACCAGCTCGCCGAGGGTCAGGAGCGGAAAACTTCCGGCCCTTCTGGACCATGTTCAGTTCAGCTCGCTTCTCCCGCCAGGTGGCGGCCAACAGCCTCTTCTTCATATCCTTCGTCTTCAGCTGGGTCATCGAGGTCAGCCGACTCATGCAACCCATGCTCAGCAAGGAACTGTACGCTGTTCTTCATGGGTTGAACTGGAGGGCTGATCTTCAACTACATGCGCTGCAGCGGTTCATCTCTTCGGAACAGTGTATTCCGGAAAGCACGACCGCATCGACTGCGAGAGGGTGTCGAACTTCAACTCGCCTTGGGCCCTGGCCAAACAGACAGCGCGTTGCTCTTCGTTCATCCCGCTGCAATTGAGCAGGATCCAGCCGCGGGCCTCTTCTGGGAATTTGACGCCCGTCTTGCGGGCACACTTGTCGAAGCATTCCCGAGAGCGGGCGCACCACTGTCGGATGCTCTCGCCTTCCCGGGCCTTGAGGGCAAACACATCGGCGATGTTCTCGCCGATCTCGTCTGTGCGATCGAGCTCTGGCCATCTCTTGTCAAGGAGGTCGAGGATGGTCTCCTCGCCGCCCTTGACTTGGTAATCACTTTCCTTCAAATGCTCTACCACCTCCAGAGCACGGCCGGTCAGAAGCGTCCACAGGAACGAGCCTCTGGCTTCCTCAGGAAGCTTGTCCATGGTGCGCATCTTGTTCAAAGCCCATTGTTTCCATCTTCTATACTCTCTATGGTCGCAGTCTTCGCCACTAAAATAGCGCAAAGAGGTGCCAGCTTCCATTGCACGGTCGCGAGGTCAGCACGCTTCCAGCGCGCCACAAAAACCTACAGGAGACGGTCTATTACCGCTCCGCTACCAATGTCGGTAGCCCCATGCGCTGCGCACCGCGCGGCCTTTTTCCCACCTCGGGCCTTAATGTCCCTGCACGGTCGCCTGTTGACACATATATATATATATATTATATCGAATAGGCCAACGCCGCCCGGGTGCCGCCGACCCCTATTTGGAGCAAGTAAGACAAAGACACCTGCGGAACAAGCAGGATGCGCTGCAGAAGCAATGTCTTTATCTTACTTGCTCCAAGTAGTGGTTGGCGGCACGGGGAGGGTAAAGGAACAAATGGGGAAAAAGGAAAGGAAGAGGAAGGAAAAGGACGTCAATAGGTACCAAGAGGAAATGAGGAGGAATGAAAAGGACATGACAAAGGAGCAGAAGGAAATGGAAAGAGGAATCAAGAGGGAATCAGCAGGAGTGAAGGAAAGGAAAAGGAATCAAAAGATTATCAAAAGGAATCAAAACGAGATTAAGAGGGATGAAAGGAAATGAACAGGCATCAAAAGAAATCATCAGGAACCAAAAGGAAGTCAAACAGAAGCAAAAGGATATCAAGGCAGGCTTTGCCAGGCAAGGCTGCGGTGCAGGAGTGAGGTCAAAGCTGCCGAGAAGCGCTTGAGGGCTGGCAAACGACAGTCTCGAAACCCTAAGGAATGACATGCGCGGGCTTTGCCAGGCAAGGCTGCAGTGCAGGAGTGGAGTAACGCTCCACGGCAGCTTTGACCTCACTCCTGCGCCGCAGCCTTGCCTGGCAAAGCCCGCGCGTGTCATTCCTTAGGGTTTCGAGAGCGCCGTTTGCCCTATGGTTTCGTGGAATCCTCATGGTCTATTTTATTTCTTCTTTTCGTGTTTGCGCTCTGGAACGAGCCCCTGCATGTCATTCCGTCGGGTTTCGAGACTGCCGTTTGCCAGCCCTCAAATGCTCCTCAGCAGCTTTGACTCCACTCCTTGCCTGGCAAGCCCGTGCGTGTCATTCCTGAGGGTTTCGAGACTGCCGTTTGCCAGCCCTCAAACGGGAATGACATGCACGGGCTTTGCAAGGCAAGACTGCGGTGCAGGAGTGAGGTCGAAGCTGCCGAGAAGCCTTTGAGGGCTGGCAAACGGCAGTCTCGAAACCCTAAGGAATGACAGCTTTGCCAGGCAAGGCCGCGGTGCATGCAGTCGCCCAGTACAATAGCATCATGTTGTGCAAACTAACTGGCTCCAAGGTGTGCACTTGTTTGTTTCACACAACGTCCCAAAAAGGTATGCGAACGCCTCCGGGCCAAGCAAAAATGTAGACACATGGTTGGAGAAGAAAACAGAGAGAGAGAGAGCAAGAGAGAAAGAGAGCGAGAGAGAGAGAGACTGAGTGAGAATGAGAATGCGAATGAGAAGCAGTGCGAGGCAACAGCGAAGCAGTGCCAAAGCAAAGAGAGAAGTCACCTGCGCAAGCGCTGCTGCGAAACACAGAGCAAGGCCTTATGAAATTAGAGCTAGAGACAAGATGAAGCAAAAGAAAGTAAAGGGAGGAATAAAGAAAGGTAAGGACTCTTTTATTACAGGGGTTCTTACCGTTTTCATTTCTGTACTTCATACAAACACAGGACCCTTGAAAACTTGAACGTTCTTGTAGGAAGGAAATGTGAAAAAGGAGCAGCGGACGAATAAGATGGTGACATGACATGTAGTTGTATAATGATGTGAAGATTCTGCTGGCCTGCGCGAGCTTTGGGTCGAACCCGTCGTCAATGTAAGAGAAAACACTTACATCAAAAGATCCCGGCAAGAGACCCCCAACAGTGTGTGCGTGTGTGTGTGAGGTCTATAAGCAGCAAGTCTAGAGATCTAGACGCGTTGGGGTCCAGAGAGGTGATGGTGGTGATGAAGGTGGGGATCGCGGTGACGGTGGCGGTGGTGGTGAGTGAGTGAGTGAGTGAGTGAGTGAGTAGAGTGAGTGAGTGAGTGAGTGAGTGAGTGAGTGTGGGAGTGGGAGTGGGAGAGGGAGAGGGAGAGGGAGAGGGAGAGGGAGAGGGAGAGGGAG